ATTTGTATGCGTTATTATCATCATCATCATCATCATTATTATATTATTATATTTTATTACTATCATTATTATTACATATTATTATTGCTATTATTATTATTATTATTATTATATTATTATTATGAATATTATTATTTTTATTATTATTATTGTCGTTGTTTTCGTCGTCGACCACTTTGTCCACTACGATTTCGTCTTGACCCGTGTCAACGTGCCTCCCGCGGCTGACCTGTTCGCCGACGACATGGACCTGCCGATCTGCCGGGACGTGGAACGGTCGTCCTTGATGAGCTTGCCTGTGCGGCTGGTGGTCCGGATGATAACTTCGTCCAGCAACGACGATTCTTCGCCCGAACTGGCCCGATTCGGCTGCCGGTTCTTAGTCCGGGCCGCCAACGTGGGCCTGCCCGCGCCCGCCGCCGCTGACTCTTCCGGGTCGCTCTTGGTGGCCTTGACTGGTCCGTGTCTGCCCGACGACGGCGCCCTGGGCGGCCGGCCGCGCTCGTCGTAGTCCACGGTCCGGCCCTCGCTGTGCCGCGGGGCCCACGGCGCCAGCACGGACACAGATCGGGACAGCGTGCGCTTCTGGGCCCCGCCGAACGCGTCGTTGCGCGAAGACAGCTCCTCGCGGCTGGCCGCCCGCCTGCTCTTTGCCCCGAACACGGACTGGTGCAGCTGTCGCGATTCTGGTATTTCTCCTACTGCGCACGTCATCACCGTCCGTCCAAAACACACAAACATAATAATATTATAGTTACACACGAGATAGGCGTTAAGAGCTAGGGCGTGTCCGCCCTCGAGTGTCGTCTTTGTCTTACACACATGGACAACACGGCAAATTTGAGTTCAGAATTTTCAAATTTGTGCTGTTACATGTAATATTAGAGTGAATAAAATTGACCGATTAAGTTATGAACATTCTTAAAATTTTATATTTTACACACTCATAATTTGCTTACAAATTAAACCATCTCAAAAAAAAACAGATGATGAGTGAAAGTAACAAATACTATTTTTATCTTTAAGTTTGAACTGTTAACTCACAGTACTATTTAAGGTATTACTTTAGTCTACAGTTACTATATACACGACCGGAACTGCTGAACACAAATTTGCTATGTTGTGTACGTTTGTAAATAATAATAATAATAATAAGATGTATATGGCGCAAATTGGTATTATTTCTTATAAGCCTATGCCGAGTAAGCATTTACTTAAATAGTATATTACAGTCTTGTGTCCATTAGTACCGATCGCACGGCGGGTTTTACTCACGATGAATGCCATAGGCAGGCACGTAAACCAAAAAAATTAATTTAAGTAAGTAAGTTTATACTTAAAAAATTAAACATTTTTCGTTATTCCTGAATATTTTCGAGAACGCTTGCGCAGACTGAGATCAGATGTTATGACCCCTATCCCCCATCCCCACTAAATGGCAATTCTAACATATTTTGATAGAATAATAATAATGTTGTATTCGATAATGGGATCAGCCGAACAAACTATCGAGATAAGTGTCTTTCGGTATCTAAAAAATTGACAAACAACAGTAGTGTACGAATAGTAGCCTATTTACAACGCCGTTCAATCACAATTTTGTGATTAATATGCATTGCAATTTCATTTTATTTTATTATCAGACACCGGAGCAAAACTGAATCACTAATTTGGGACACTTGGGTACGAGTCACTTCAAAAATGTTCAACGCAGTCTGCAAATCATAGATGTGCTTAGAAATATTTTACAAATCTATCAAAGGTAATTTTTTCCCTCACATGAAATCAGCTACTTTATTTCATGAATTCTCCCTCACCCCCCCTGCGACTGAGAACCACTGCAGTCTAATAACTATAGGTATATTACAGAATGACCGTAATAACTTCGACTACTCAGGAATGTCATTTCGATGTCAAAACTGAGGGTGCTTAAGCTACCTATTAATTAATCAGTTACATGTCAATTTTGTGTTGCGACTTCACTCCCTGTACCTCTCAATAATTCGTTCAATGCAATCATATGGTATTTGCCCTATACTTTACTCATAGACTTATCCGTTATCAGTGCATGAAGTATGCAAACACCAGTTGCATAGTCACGAGGGCGCTAATTCAGTGTACATACCCGTGGTTGCGTGAAGATAGACCGTGGACTTGTGCGATTTCTGACTACTGTCGCCCTCGGTGGTGCTGCCCGCTGAACTGTCTATCAGGGAGTGCCTCTTGTCGGCAGTCAGCCTGGGCGACTGGTCCATGTCCAGAGAGTTGAGGTTTCCCACGCTGTGGTACGACCGGGTCGTCCCCTTCGAGTTGTTCCGATCGTTCACCCTGTGCACCCTGATCTCGTCATCATTTTCACTGCCCGACGTGAACGTCTTCGATCTCTGTATTATAATATGTACAAGAAAAAAAAACTCATTAGTCGCTTAGAAATGTACAGAGAATATCGTGACTTATATGATATGTAACCGTGTGTGGTGTGTGCGTGTGTGTGTGTGTGTGAAGTTACTTATGATTTTCGGAAAATCGTACCTTGTTTTTCTTGCCGAATCTGTCCAATGACTTGAACCATGCGTTGTTTCCGGCCGGTTTCTGGGATTTGCTGGGAGATGACATCCTCCTATTTCCGGACACATGATTCCCTTGTTTGTTCTGTAGACAGTAAACAAAAGTTGATTACTAACATTTTCTAGATATTCAAACTCGATCGTCTGCATTAAAATAATATATGTTGTGTCAGTTGTATGACAATATTGTCAATATTAAAATCTACAGAAATGGCACAATATGCAAGACGATTCTTTTATAGCAAAACACCCAATTTTTCAAATAGTATCAAATTTTTTAGAATTTTTTTTACATAACTTTGAGTCATTACTAAACAAAAATTTTGATTAAATTACATTATTTTAATTTTTAAATGATGACATACATTTTTAAATTTTAACTTCATATTCTGAAACAGATTTTTATTTTTACTTCATATTTTTCTGATGATTTTGAACCAGTATGTATGGTTAATGAAAACTTGAAAATGATGATGATGAGAAATATATTTTTATTATTTTACGAAGAAATGAATACCTGTTTAAATATTAGCTGTTTATAATGATGTAATATTCACAAATACATAAGTGTACCACAAATGTCTGACAGGTTTGAAATAACTTTTGTTATGTTAAGCTCGTAACAATATTTTTAGAAAAACGGAAGTGAACAGAACTTTTATGTAATGCAACTAATGAAAATGTTATCAACGCATGCCTGTGTTTGCGTTCTTATTAATAATAAATAATAATAAGTTATATTCTTAAGCTTAATAATTAGAGTTACAAGATTATCGACTCTCAGTGCCATTTACGAAATACTTCACAGTTGAGGCTGTCATTGCCGTTGCTAAAATATGGTCGAAATACAGAGTACAATGTGTTATAACTTAGAAGCAATAATTAAGAGCTTTTTTTCTTTTTTATTCGAAGGACAATGAACAGTGGAGAAGAACGGAAATTATCATTTCTGGAGGAAACTCGGATGATTACCGTTACAAACACTTCGATACATTATAAGACGGTTGACGAGTGTTAGCCTTCGAAAGGTTATATCGTTCTGTAACTGCCGTTTTTGACGCACAGACCACAACATTCGAAGCACTCTGTATATACGCGTTTATGTAAACGCCATTGTAATCGCGGAGTCACGGCGATAGAGTAAAAAAATCGGCAGACTTCGCAATAATAACGATATTATATAGATTATAGGTGAGTATAATGTTTGTTTAATATTTTATTTTATTTTTTTAACAATGACTGCGCGTCCGAGTATAGGCGAGGGACGTGTATTAATAACACGCATTAGAACAGCGTGTACCTGCACTTAAATACACATAAACATCGGTCGCGACGTAATATTATAAAAAACTGGCTCCGTTGGCCAGAATCGCACCATACACACACACACACACACACACACACACACACACACACACACACACACACTGTATATAATAGTATGTATTAAATATTACAAGCGACCAATGTGTGCGTCGATAAAAGCGTGCACTAATAAATATATATAACAACAATAATATGTACATCTATGTACTGCTGAAAGGTCGGTCATATTATATGTGTATATAGGTTTTTAGTCATATTATATGTGTATATAGGTTTTTAGTCATATTTATACACGCACACCACACACGACCACGGCACGTACAGCTCGAACATTTTTTAAAATTTTTTTTTTTTTTATTTTCTCCGTACAATAATAATGCATTACATTAACCTAACCGCATTTGACCCTGGGGATTATAATGTAATATATATATATATAACTTCGTGGTTTCGACGATTTCGCATTAACCGCTTACAAACCAAAAATGGCAATAATTTTCCGTTGCGTTTCTACACGATTTTTAATCGTTATAGATATTCTGCAATGCGACGTGTGTGCAGGTGACGGAATAATATTCCAGTCCACCTGAAATAAAATAATATAATATGATTCTCTTCTCGGTAGTCCGCCTGTGATATATCTCAGGAATAAAAAACGATTGGTACCGTTACACGAGAAAATTCTCGTCGGACGAATTAAATATTATATTTTTCGTCAATTCGAAAATACCTATATTGCATACGGATACCAAATAATATAACTCTACATGGGTACCTGCAAGACATTGTTATATTTTGAAATATTTACATAATAATATATGCGTCGTTGCATCATAATGTGCCTACCTACCTACGTGTTTTCATTAGGTACCGCCGCGCGTATAGTGTAACGCATATTATTATTTATTATTATTATTATTATTATTAATATCGATTGATTTCGATTTTAACGGTATATTATTGCAATGTTCGCAGTGTCGTCCCCGTAGAGCCCCCCCGGGAACGAAAACATGGTTTTTCGGCGACCATCTGCGCTCATATTTTCGTATAGGTGTACACGCGTCGCGTCGGTACACTATAATATCATCTACCGATTTTTGTGGTATTACGTGAATCAAGCGGTATCACTATACGATAATGTGCGTGTGTGCGTGTGTGTGTGTGTGCGCGTGTGTGTGCGTGTGTGTGCAATATTTGCAACGAGCGAGGCCAAGGATGGACAAGGATATAGTCATATAGACAACACAGGCGTGGAGCACCGGATGGCCGTCGCGTGCGCATATATGGACATCCAGGTTAGATTGCAGCTCGAATATAATATTATTATATTATATATACGAGCGTGGAGAAAGCACTATATTAATTGTGACGGGAGTTTCGATCGGCGGAAACGTATTACATTATTATTATTATTGTAATTTATAATGAATAATATACTTCTGCACACGTACGCGGGCGATCGGCCACTGGCGGCGGCGGCATGTGCGACGGATAGACGCGCTATACCGGCCCAACCCCCCGAAAACGACGAAAATCCATAATATTTTAGATGCCTGTGTAATATTATTACGATTTGAAAAAAAAACGGTTTCGAATATGTATATTTTAAATAATGTATAATTGTATTATTTATGTATATATTTATATCACTATTTATGCGCCCAACGCCGACGGAATCAATCTGCCGCGGCCATTATCTTTTTGAATAAAATACAATCGCATTATAACATGGTATATCATCAACGCCAGCAGTGATATTATATTATTTCAATGCATTAATTATATACACTGCAAAACTATGGCAGGCATGATTTGGATGGTATAGGCATATTAATTATACCGTTTATACCGTTTACAACGCCATAATAATATATATACCCATAAATAATATTGTATGATAATTACTGCTGCAGTAGATGCGGATCTAGAACGAGATTTTTTTCATTACGGGGGAACAAAGGCCTGCTCAAAGCCTAATTACGGAAGTCTCCAGGGTTAATTATCGCTCGGAGGCGAGCTGTAGCAGAAATATTTCTCCCCATATATAATATACCTACCTATATTATATTATTATTGTACACAGCTGCAGTGCCTGCTCGACAGTATAGACAAAGGCTTGTCAAGTCACTCGACTTGATAATTATTCGTAAATGTCTATCCCCCCCTCTCTCTTTTATATTTATAATATAAGTAAATCAAGGAGCAAGGATCTATGTGGAGACGTTTGGATTGGCCACTTCAAACGACGGTTTTTGCAGAGTACCTGCACCTGACGTTTTCGCACCGGTTGATCGACCGAATCGGCATTTTTGTCTTTACGACAGCGGTATAATAACACTATGGTAATAACAACACACACACACACACACACACACACACACACACACACACACACACACTCGCATTACACACCGCATTATGTGGATACTATTATATATAGGTACTATCATTTAATACGTCATAATAAAGCGTTGTATAGATGAGGTACCTCGGAGAAAGGATATATAGCGATAATATAGCGAAATAATACGTGACAAACCAGTTTTCGGGTGTTGACCATTATGGTCCGCAACCAAATAAAGACGTACACGACATTATATACTATCTATCTAGCCATGTATATAATATTGTATACTGCATACAGTGTGGGTATTGCATAACCTCAGTTGGCTTATACGTTACATTATTATGTTCGACCGAAAACGAAGATTTCCTCGACACGCGTTTCCCGTAATATTTTGACACTAGGTTTACATTCGGATGTCCAATCGGCGAACTTTATTTAACTGTACAAAGTGGGTATCTCCGATAAAAAAATAAATAGTATTAACACCCGACTCGACGTCAACAACAACAATAAGGAGGCGTTTACCCATATTGTTGTAATAAAGGTACAAACGAGTATACCTACATTTTATTCATAATATTTAGCCCATAGGCTCCTCGTATTATGTTTTGAATACATAATAATAAACCCGGTACATCAGTGCATAACATGTTTAAATGTCGAATAATAACAGACATAAGAGTAACATAGATATTAATATTGTGTTAAAAAGTGGATACATAGATTGCAACGGTTTAAAAAAAACACACACACGAACAGGTCATGAACATCATATAGGTATTATAGCTATAAGGTTACGTCTTTCGAGATTTTATATTATATTTTATGGTGATGATATTATGCCAACAGTGAAATATTTACGTTTTTAACCCACAATTACGTGCTAAAATCGTTTGCTAGTACTTTTGAAAACTTGCAGTACTCCTTATTTTTTAACTTTCACGCCATCTGACCGTCCAAGGAGGCGGTCAGATAGAGAATGGATAATATTTTAATCATACAGGAACCCATATGATGTGTTTCTATAAATTACATGATAATTAGCTTAGAAATTATACCGAACGCGTATGCATTGAATTATTGAACGATATTAAACCTACCTATAGAGGTACATACCTACTTAGTACTTCCTATTTATTTGTTCCATGTCATATTATACTCTCTCCCTCTGAACTTATGAAACTAAAAATAATATCACCTAGAATATGATATTATTACAGCGTGATCGGATTATATCACCGACATGAAATACCGAGGTTCGCTAAAAAAAAAACAAATGAAAATTGACATTTTTAAATTGAACTGACGCATATAATATTAAGTAGAATATCAGGATTGGAATCGTTTCGTGCTAAATAATAATATAAGAATAACCGCTAATGTTATGATATATTATCATTTATCACTTATCAGCATGAGGTCACACGTGCAGCCACAAGACGTTTTTGACCCTGGTAATTGGTTAGCAACTACCAAGGTGTTTACAATTGTCAATTAACATCCATTTACCATCAGGATACCCCATATTAGGTACCCGGGGTGTTTTAAACGTCACATATATAAATCATGAAAGTCTTAATTGATACCATTATGCAAACAATACCAACCAAATAGTTGGAGAATGATGGATATACTGTAACAATAATTTCAGTATAACAAAAAAATATATGTGTAAATTGTAATACGTTTAAATCATAAATTATTATTTCTGTAAACGACTTTTTTGTGCTCGAGTAATATTTCATGATATTTTTATTGGTAGCTAAGCAGCTTACAGTGTAATCGAAGTTGAACCCGGAAAATTAATGGACGACGTGTACATATTATACAAATCATTTTACTACAACCAATGAGGCAATAAGAGAATAATTTGGTATTAAATATACTATTACACATACGGCTACCTACTAAACAAGAAACGATGATTAATTATCCACAACATAACGAACTACACATATCTAAGACACGTTATGTTTTGCGACATAAATATTACTGCAAGAAGCTCTTGAAAATATTGTTACGTTTTTAGATTGTAACATAAATGGGCGTTTTTATTATTTTCTTTGACGAATAGAGGACGTGATGAACTTAATATTATATTAGTGCGACTTCCTCTAAATCATTGAATAAAATATAAATTAAAAACAAAATATGTACACTCGTTTTTTCACTACCTATAATCAAGGATGGGCAAGTTATAACCAATATTTTTAACTCGTCAAGTTAATATTGGAAAATGTAAGTTAAGCTTAAAGTTTAAGGAACTTTTATTTTCTTTAAGTTGTAAAAATTAAAAGTTTAATACAAAAAAAATTTCGTCCGTCCACTTAGTAAAAATTCAGTTACATTTTTCTTTGACTGAGTATGTACTATGTACTATACATATTATGTTTAGTCTATTGCGAATGGACTATCGTATTTTTTTAAGTACCTATAGGTAGGTACAATAACATCCAAATATATTGTAGAAAAATAATACATTTAAGAGTTGTTGTTGACAGAAAAATAGCATAGAGGTAAGACTTCTTCCAACACCATATAATCATGTAATAACTGAAATTATAATCTATTTATAGGTTAATTTATAAGAGATCACTACATCAACATTTCTTTAATTACCGAACCGTCCAAACCGGGTATCTGATTACCTGGTATGTTATTATTGTAAGATTTGAAACAAATATTTCTGTGTGGGATTATAACTTCATTACAATCTTAAATAACAGCCATTTCCGATCTTTGATATATGTTTGTTTTTTTCTATTAATAAAATAATTTGTACAAAACTAAATATATTTTATAAATCCATGGGATTTATTGAAAAAAACATAAACTATAAACGGTACTAGGTATATTATGCAATTCAACAAGTAACAACATATCGTGGAAAAAATTTAAATAATTACTGTAAAAAAAATGTATGTGATTTAGTTTTAGTCCAAGCGACTATAACTTTTTAACTCGTTAATGCCCAGCCTTGCCTATAATGAATGTTAATTATTATGCACGTTGCTGCAGTAGGATGACATCGTTGCATCTATACCATGTCTAACATTTTAGTTACCTACCCATACATCGGTTTTGTATTTTAATTTTATCGTAGGTATACACATTTTTTGTTTCTCCTAATACAGTAATAACTATTAACTAGATAACCAATAGATTGTGCAACACTGCTGCAGTAATAACAATTATATACAATGGCAAACACAATAATATTATGTGTGTGTATTAATATATAATAATGTGTTGGCGACGAGGTTTCAACCATACCCATTGAACGTGTTTACAAAAGAGGAGTTTGTACGTTTCGAAAGGTTTCGTAATTATGTTGTCCGTTTTTCCAATAACATATTTTTTAATCGACGTCGACGTGGGATTGTGGGAAATTACACGTAAAAAGAAAAACTCGTGATTTTTAAACAAAACGGACGATGCCGCTTGTTTGTTGATATTCCGTCGTTTTTTTATTTCTTTAAACATTTCAAGAAAACAAATAACCGTTAACGCGAGATCACGTCAAGACGTGTCGACGGTGTATAATTTGGGCGACGCATTAATGAACAAGTCAATTATTAGACTAACCTAGGCTCGACCAGCTACGGCGCTATATCGTTAAATTGTCATTAACAGCTAATGTTTGCCCACGCTCGATCGTTTTATGAAAAAAATCAAAAAAAATCGGTCTAATAATAATACGCCTTGTTGTTATAGTATTGTGTATTTGTGTGTTTTCGTTGTTTCCGTTATTGTCCGTTATGATTCGAAAAATTTGGATAGATTTTGTTTTCCGTAAAATGTGTACAGGCAATGATAATAAAATGTAGAAATAATATTATGTAATATTATTATGGAATCGAACACTTTTGGCGTTGTTGCCGTTAAAACGTGACTAATCCACTCGTAATTGAACATTTATACATTATGGGATATAGCGAGGGCGAGAATAATAATTTGCCCGAATTTGGTGCTCGTCTGTGATACGAGAACTGCAGTGTGTCGTCATCGAATAACTTTCGGACTTCGGTCGCAAAATTTGCGTCATAATCGAAATCAAACACAACTCGAGTGGGGCGGAGGGGGGCACGATATTCTAAAACGTTCTACGCGCACCGGACGAAACGGCGTGAAACGTTTCCAAACCCATAACGATGTTGTGCTATGGGGAGTATGGATACATTATATAGATCAGGGTGGTCAGACCTTCTGCAATTTGCTGGTCAATTCACACATTTATAAACGCTAAGTAAGAAGAAAAAATATTTTTATTGGTATTTTATTTTATAACAAACATAAAATAATATAATAATATAATATAATGCACAAGTTATCACATTGTAGATATCATACGTATAGATTAGTACTGCGCCTTCTCCCACCACCTTAGTTTTTTTTTTTAAATTCATCACACTTAAGACACTAAAATAATTATTAAATATTTGTTTTCTAAGGAGGACGAAAAAACAGGCTTGGAGGGCCGCGGATGGACCACCCTGATATAGATCACAGACTAGACTGGCAGATTCCAAGATGTTTGTTGTTTACTAATTATTGGAATGATATGGAATGCCCGAAGTCACTTCGTTTACCACCACAACATCTGTGGTTTGTGAGTATATCTATTATCAACCTATTAAATACCAATTATCAAATACAAATGTGTTTTTGAATATTTATTTGTAAAAAAGTGTATAAATATTTGTTGTCGAAAGTAGCGAAGTATATTAACAAATCATTATGATTTGGCTTTATTTAATGACAATTTACAATCTATACAATGTGTGCGATAAGTAAACGAGTGGAACAATATGAGACGTTGAATAAATAACAATGAGTTGGCGTTAGAAAAGCCTAAACACGAATGATTAAGTATCCATGGTGCACCCTGCACAATATGCATACCTAATAAAATATGTATAAAACAATAAAACGTCATTCGGTTCTACATAATATAACGGTTGTACGAATGCGTTCACATTTCATACTGAAACTTTTTCGAATTTGGAGGGGGGGACTGGAAAAACTTTTTTACAGACTTAACCAACCAACAGCCCCCCCCCCTTCGAATCCACCATGAACTAAATTCCTACAAATGTTGGTTCTAGACGATCAAATAGAGTAGAACCTCAATGTTGACGACAAATGTGATTACGAAAACACAAAGTTGGGGGGAGGGGAAGGAGAGAGAGAGAGAGTTTAGGACCGAGGTTCGACACTATTCTTCATAACTACAAATATTATATAAGTGTAAGAGTATTTTCATAGTAATGACTTACATTCGCAGCTATTGACTTCGTTAGTTATTATTATTACTTCAGCAGTTAAGCATAATATTAGTGTCGTAAAGACTGTATGAGAGACTACAATGTTATGTAGCTGCCCCTCACTTTATCGGTGTATTATTACTTTGATCGTCATTAGGTAAGTGTACTTACGTTGTCGGTACCGGTGAACACGTTGTATCGTTTGCGCAAAGACGACGTGTACGACTCGGGATCGGACGAGTTGTACTGAGCTTTAGCGGACGACGATGGCCGCTTGTTCTCCTTGGACGCGGAAGAGCCGCCGGTGAACAGCATCTTGAACTTGTCCAGCCTGGAACGCTTTTTGGCCGGCTTGTCGGCACCGTACACGGAAGCGGAGCGCGGCGGCGCGTTGACGACGGTCACGTTGTTCCGGGAAACGATGGTCGGCATGCCTGAAGAGGTCCGGGACGTCGGCGGACGGCCGCGGCTGCCATCCGTCGGCCGGACAGCGGTGTCGCGGTGATGATGGTCGTGGTGGGCGGCGGTATCGCGATGGACAGCGGCGTCGCGGTGATGCCGGTCATGGTGGTCGGCGTCGACGTCGTCCTCGTGGTCGTCACGGTCATCGCTACCGTCGCCGGACAGCCTGGGCGTCCTCCGGGCGAACCGGTGTTCTGTGACTATCTTTCGCTCGAAGTATCTGTCGCCGCCGCCGAGCGTCTCGTTCTTCTTGTACACCGTCGCGTACGTGTCCGGCGCCGCATCCGGAGGTGTTCGCACGCGCACTGCCGCCCCCGACCCCGTCCGCTGCGGTCTGACCACCACGGTGGCCGCGCGTTTCTGCAGCCTCGACTCGAGAGCGTCCCGCCTGTGGCTGAGATCGTCGTATGACGTCCACGTGTCGTCCATGCCGCCGGCCGAGCGATACTGTTGTCGTTGCCGTTGCGGTGGTGGCGGTCGGTCAGCTGCCGCCGCCGTGTCGTCCGGTAGGTGGACGATGGTGGGCGACGACGTGGCCGTGTACGAAAACGGTTCGTTGCCGTTGTGCGCGTGGGCAAAGTCTGGCGACGACGACGACGGTGGCGGTGGCGGCAGCGGTGGCGACGGTTGACGGGCGAGCTCGGCCGCCGCCGCCTGTTGGTGCTGCTGTTGCTGATGCTGCAGTTTCCGGACGATCCGGTCGACCTTGTGGCCGCGGACGGGGCGCGGTGGGGACGCGCCGCCGTAGCCCAGCGGTCCGCCGACCGTTTACTTGAAGTACTCGTCCCGCGGTGACGACTCGATGATGGGAGACAGCTGTTTTTTCGCCCGGATCGGCGCCGGAGGTGGTGACGGGCCCGTCACCGGCCGTGGCGTGGACGGTTCCGAGGACCGGTCGGCCCCCGACGACGTCCTCCGCGGGGGTGGCTCGGACGCGGCCACCGCCGTCGGACGCTTTTTGATCTTCGTCTTGATCCGCTGGATGGTGCCGAACAACGATATCGAACGTTTCGCGTCGCCGCCGTCGCCGGACGCCAGCGGCTTGTCCCGGTCGCCCGCATCGCTGACGCTCCTCGTCAACTTGCCGCCGCCCGAAGATGCCGTCGAACGTCTCTTCGGCGGCGCCACTGCGGTCGTCAGGTCCGTCGACGACCGATACTGTTGCCCGCCCTGCCGCTGTTCTTCCCACGTCGGCTGCTCCCTCTTCCTGATCCGGTTCTTAGGCCTGTCCAACGACATGTACGACGACAGTTTACCTGTGTGCACAACCCAACCGACGTCGATAAATTAAAACATGTTTACAATGAAAGAATTCGTGTACAAAAATTTGAACTGTTTGATAAATATTGTTGAACTACCTTTCTAACCGGAAGTGTATTGCGGCTGTTCCGTAAGTCAGTGTATAAATATTCAAAGAACCTAGCGTCGATTTTTTTTTTTAATTTTTCAAAGCCTATAAAGGATATTCTACTTTTTTCTTTTACTTTTTTTTTGACTCTTCAGTCATAATCGAGAATTATTCGCTTTATTCGTCGACTGTTTACACACCAACTGACACCGAAGATTATTGCGGTTGTGTTTATTCTTTCCGTTTGTGTACATTTTCGATTATATCCACTATATGTAAGATATTTAAGTAAAAACCCATTCGAAATGTTTGTTTAGTCTCGGCAGTGAATTTAACAAACAGTATTAGGGCCATAAATAGCAAATAAAACGAAAAAACAATTAAACTCTCAACAAATCTTTCGTTTTTTAATTTATTCTAAATTTAGCTGTGTAAAAGAAAATCCCATTCTTCTATCAACTGATAATTGGTGAGTATGTTAAATTACAGAGCAGATTCTAACTGAGCGGTGTAATAGAATACTAAAAAATATCAGCAAATATGTGCGTTAAAATACTCCGAAATGCTCATATTATTATTGTAATTATTTTATTATATAGGTATAAACAATATGGCTTATAATTTATAAATTCGTTGACTGTTACTTGTTAGGTATTTTATACATTTTATTCAACTGGGAAATTGTTTTTATTCAATAACGTATTTTATTGAGTTTTATGATGAAAAAGTTTTACAATTTATTTTAACGATGTTAAAAACAAATTAAAGCATATTTTTATTATTTTATTTCGTTCAAAGAGAATTCATTAAATTTTATAATATTTACTTAAATGCTTTTAGTTTCGAGTGTACGAAAATACATTATTTTTATTAATGCAGAAAAAAAATATCTCCATGTAATTTAAATTGTGTTAAAGAAGTCTACTTTAACTGCAAACATCATAGTGAGCAATTAATAACTAAAATAAAGTTATTAAAAAGTAAATTAAAAAACAATATTTCTAAAGTGAATTCGTATACTTTTTTCTCCCAATATATAATAAATATATAGTTTAATTCATGAAAGATTTAAAATTTTTCTTTTATATAATGTTTTATACTTTTTTTAGTTTTCTTTGTATAGGTACTTCAGTGTTCTCGTAATAACCTGATTCAAAACAATAGTAATGTTTATCTAGAGCTCTTAAATCGTTATTATTATTATTGGTCGATGGTATTTTCTAACAATACATACAATAGACACCTGTTAATCTTACACATTATTAGAATATTTCACTCAAGTGTCTATATGAAAACATTATATTTTAAAATAATACCACTGACGGGAACATTTATTATTTTAATTTTAGGACCTTTTTCAAGGGGAGATGCATTTTTAATATTATAATAACAACCGTGTTCATCCAATTACACTCACATAACACTGCAGGGCACAGACTATACGAAAGGTTAGGTTTTCATATGATCTGCAGTGCTTATGCCTGTACTGCAGTATAGTTACATAATGGATGCATGATATATTCACAGGTGCAGCAGGTATTGGTTTTGACAGTATAATGGCTTTCGAAACCTTCGAATTGGGGGGGGGGGGGATATTACCTTCGGAATTCCATTTTTTCGAGTCTGTCCCTCCGAAGCTGGTCTTCCGTTGGAGGGACGCTCCGTCTGGTTTGCTCCTCTGCTGCCTTCTCGGCGGTACATCCGAGTGCAGAGAGGCCACGCTGTCTGCCTGCTTGAGCACGCGGTCGGCTTCCAACGCGAGTTCACGCTTAGACGCTTTGATCTTTTCCCTGCGAACTGGCGTGGGCACCAAGTGACCTTCGCCATCTCCGGCTAAAGCTTCCACAATACTTGCTGCATCTGAGTTGCCTATCGAACAGTTACAAACAGATAAACAAACACACAGTCAGAAACGATAAATTATGTGTACTTATTGAATAGAACTATTTTGAAATTCGCATGATAAATTGTGTTTCTCGGAGTTCATAATTACACGAAAAGTTCTCTGGTGGTGGTGGTATTTTTTTTTATATATTATGTCGTGATACATCAACGGTAACGTGACATGCTCGTTACAACAAACACGAATAATAATTACGACGCGAAACCCCAAAATTATTCTTATATCAGGTACCGTAACTTATAAATAAAATGATAAATAATGTGAATACAATTTGTTTTTAATAATATTTGAAAAAAGCTCTGATAAGATAATTTAATTTTGATAGGTAGCCAGGTAGGTATAGCCGTATAGGTACTATAAACTATTCAAATTGTTGTTATCTACAAAAAATAACGTTTTGAAAAAATTATTTCTGCAGCATTAATTTTAGTTATTACCCAGATATTTGATAAATTATAAAAAAATACTGAACTGTCTCTGGAATTCTAAATTTCGTATTCTTGTGTCGTGTTTTATAGTTACACCTACTAACACTTTAAATACTTATAGTCAGGGTAATTATTGAATTTACCTACCTATGTGGCTAATGGCTATATCTAGCATAATAAAGTCACACAAGTGTGGCTTGATTACATTTGACTTATCGCTTAAAATTATCCAAAACGAGTGTACTCACAATACTACATTATCTTTTTATTTCTAAATGCCATATGGAAATAGGTATCGCAAATTAAATCTATAAAATAATCACACATACATGTAGGTTGGCACATATGATTATGTTTATCTTACATTATGATTTTATAACCAACGATAAAGTGATTCATAATGAATTATTTGGAATTGCGCATACGTCAAGACATGACAAATGACAATAATAAATGTATGACAATCATTAATTTGTCCGGAAATGTTTGTGGTTGTATAATGCATGTATTCCAAAAACGTTACTAAATATATGTGACATTGGACGACGCCCCTTTTCTTGACCTTCTCCTGCACTAGTCCAGCAATCGCTGGGACTCTCGACTCTCCACCTCTCGGTTCGTCTCGTACAACACAAACATTACAAACATACTCATTCCGTCTTAAACGGACTAAACTTCTATTCGTATTTAAGTCCTTATCATTAGTTTCTTTACATATTTCGTACTGTACAGTGTCCTTATTCAGCTTTTATACAACCTCAAATCGTTTTTTCGACCTCTAAATAGATAATATAAAAATATTTTTATTTTTATCTCCGTCGAGTGCCCCATAAATACTTGTAATGATCATGAGCACCATTTATGCAGTGAACCGAACTAAATTCCTTTAATCTCGAGTGATGACGAGTTATGCTTCATAAATCAATATCACGTTTGCATTATGACATTTTTAAAAATCTACATTATCACCTGTACTACACATTCGATCACTAAGAATTTTTCTCTCGGCTTCGTAATATGCAGCTACATTATATTACACAATAAACACATACTCATATTTTATGGGATATGATGGTATTCGTGGTCGGTTAATGTGTTACTTTTATTCATAACGTCATGTCGTCATTTCTCTGATAGTTCGGACAACACCGGAGTTAGGCGTTTAGCAGGTCTGAAGAGACGTACGTATAAATCGTATAATATATTAATATATGACTGCAATAGTTGATGCAATACATTTATATATTATAGTGCATAGTATCAACGATGACATTTTATTTAATCCTAAACGTAATCGAAGTAAGTAGGTTATTAAACACACATTTTTAAACTCTGAATGAGGAACTTTTGAATTTTCATTATTGATGAGTACTTTTACACAATTTCCCCGTTTTTCGCTAAAACTAATATTATTTAAAATGTGGTCATATTATAATTATTATGTGGCGGCAGTCCACATATTTTAAAAACATAACTCAATTTTAAGTTTTTATTATTACAGCCTTCAATTGTACATTTCGTTATAATATATGCCGTGACGATTATAATATTATAAAGGTAGATAAAAACTAGGTTCATATATATTATAACCTATTTATTTTTTTAATTTTATAATAATTATTTATGAAATGAATTCCCGTTTGTTGAGTTTATGTTTTTTCATAATCATCGATCAACGCCTACTTGTTTTATTGACAGTGGCTTCGTGGTTCGTACACGGTACACTCGCACATATTATACAAACCATACCTAATTTTTATTTTTGTAATTAAAGTAGGAAACTCTTTTGTTTCTATTACTCGAGTCACACACACACACACACAAGCTCAAAATTGATTATCGTATTTTTTCATTCATAAAATATCGTCAGTATTTAATACCTCTGCGATTGTCCTTGGTTTTTTTTTCGATTTACTACTTAAATTTTACTCTCCGAAATAATTTTCTCGGATTTTTAGCAACATTTTTAACCACAGTTAACCCATATACTGGCTATGTTATTTAAAAAAAAAAAAACAACTCTGTTTGTGCATATGCACGGGCATTCAAAATGTTCTGTTTAATTCGTAAAATAATATTTTTTCATTGTAATTAAAATGACCGTAATTATGTTTCGAACCCTCGTCGTGTCGTCCGTTTCATTGCATACCGAGCACGCGTCATCATCATTCATTCCGCCGTGCGCTCCACTCATCCCGTGCAGGTCACTGTTTGGTGCCATGGAAAAAGTGTTAAAGTCCATAACCCGGGTTCGAGAGAGAGAGAGAGAGAGAGAAAAAAAACACGATTAAATGTATAGCTCTATTATAATACTGTAGATATCAATATTGTTATTAAACAATATTATGTACCCTTTTGACGGAAAATTTCCCCAACACGCTTTTATATTCACGTACAACGATTGAACGATAGCTGCGCGTGGACATGGGTCTTTACAATATTATGCCACCGTGCGCAGCTCCCGGGGTTTTGGGTTAAAATGTTATTATTGTCACACAGACGACGCCCTTGTCTCTCTACCGAAATCCCATATCACAATTACCGCGATATGTAGTAATAGTTTGTAACGAGTACCTGTTCTGAAGTGAGCGGGGGAACCGGTGCCTTCCCGATTATTTGCACACTTCATTATTGTTTCGACATAATTTTCCGCCGCGGCTTGTGGCGCGTTTTTAACTGTGTGGGGAGGAGGCGTGCGCATCATAATGATATACGTCTGGACGCAGGTAAAAACAACAACAAACCGTACGGACCATAATAATAATGATATCGTGTTACAGCAGTTAGTAATAATAACAATAATATTGTACGGCTTAACCTAACCCAATCTAATGGCGAACCGCGCACAGAACGATATGGCGGTGCGCTCGGAAACGATACGGACCAAACATTTGAAATTATCATCGTAAAAATAACGAAAACAGGACGTAATATCATCATTGTAATTATTGTAAAGAGTTTAAATTTGTTTGCGTACCGATTTTCTTGATCCGCACGTCCCGGTTGAACGACACTCTCGGCCTCTGCGACGAGTCGGACTTTTGCGAGTCCGATCTGTACACGTCCAGCATGCTTGCGGGGTTTAGCTCGGGATCTGTGAACAAAACGAGTGAACGCACGTGGTTACATAATATTATAATATATTGTGATGTGTGGGTAATTGAATTGTTGCAGAATTCGCCAAGTCTCCGTGTTGGTGTGCGCGTGTGTGTATGATGGTCGTCAAACACACGCGACGAATAAACGTGTCGTTACAATACACAATATAGCCTATAGGTATACCTATAGTATAAATATAAACGAAAAAAAAATGTTTATTTTGTACATTTATATTATTTTTATACGCCTATAAATATATATATGTGAAATACATCGTTCCGACGACGACAGCGTTGACCGACATCGATAAAAAAAACAATACGAACCGCGCGCAGTGTAAAAAACCGACAACGGCCCGCGAAACCGAAGTGGAAACGGCTTTTGAAAATGAAACCAAACGACGATATTGTTTGATAACGTTTTCCGCGTTCGAGTGGAAGTTCGGGCCTCCGTGTATAATACAAGTAATCGTACGACACGTAGGTACCTACGGTATATACCTCATCTACCTACAGCTTGGTAGGGCGGTTACGGAGGTGGGCATCAATCGGTTAGTGTAATAATAACATACGAGCAGCTGGAGTTAGAGCTGTACAGTGTCGGTTAATCTCGCGGTTAACCATAGAGCCGGGGTTGTTTCGATCGTGGTTTACGTTTTTATAACTCGACCGTATACCAAGTTAGAAAATCCGCACATCGTCATCGTATACGATATTATCGTGACGACTCGGCTTCTCGCCGTCAGACATCTTTTCCCACGCGTCGGCCTTACACGCTCTCGCGGGAGTTAAAAACTTATCGTCGAACCGCGTTAACTATACCAAAGCTCGACTCTACTAACCGGAGCGAATCTCGTCCATTATCGACTCGTCCGTCACCTCCGTACATATTATAGTATTATAATACGAAAACGCATTAATAACGATAACAACATTGCCCGTGTCTATTTCGTTCTCTCCCCTCCCGCTTCCTCTCTCTCTCTCTTCCTCTCTCCCTCTCTCTCTCTCTCTCTTCCTCTCTCCCTCTCTCCCTCTCTCTCTCTCTCTCTCTCTCTCTCTCTCTCTCTCCTCCTCCCCCCTTCTCTCTCGTTTTTCGGCCGGTCCGCCCGCCCGCCCATAACTCTGCACGGCGGCCGCCCGGCGTTGAGGTAGGAGTGTGCTGCGACCGTTGCGTCACTGGCCATGTAGGGTAACCCGGGTATCCGAGCCCGAGGACCGCCGTGGCCCACTCGAAACTCGGCGCCCACACTGCCCAATATTATTATTGTACATGTGCCGAGGGTGTGCGCGTGCGCGCCGCGTGCCTATGTAATATATTACGACCGTGTGTGACGCGCGACGTCTTCGCGGGTGACGGACACGACTGCGGTTTTTCGTATAATACTGCAGAGGTATTCGGACTTTTTCGTCGCACGGCTCCTTTGAGTCTTCACAAAATGTCGACGGCTGCCGAATTATAAATGACGAAAAAATCGATGTTTACACGAATGCAATTTATATTTTATGATTTATTTTTATTATTTATTCACCGTATTACATAAATAAAAAAATTAAAGCTATATATTTAGCGAATGACGGTTGTAGACAATTCGACGTTTCCCAACCGGTGTGCCTCGATGACGATAATAGTAAACGTTTTACGTAAAAAATATTTATTGGTTTTCAATTATTATACTACGCGGCTCCCTCCGACAACTCCCGCGACGCCCCTGGGAGCCGCGACGAACAGTTTGAATACCTCTGGTATAATATACAATATAATATATATACTATTTAATATGGGTACCTATACCCATATCAGCTCATACGCGTTCATGGGTTTTTTTTTTCGGTTGTCCGAGTCCCGTCGTGTAGAGGTTTTTTTTTGGGGGGGGGGGGGGTTGTTTTTTATTTACACGGTGTCTATGAGTGTCCGCAATCAGCGTATCATGAAGGCGCGTCCACACCTGAGCGCATTCGGGGTGAGCATAAACATTGAATTGTTAACGACGAATTTCTGTGTGGACGGTCAAGTTGAGCAGATTTAAACCGCGCAAACATACATCCGGTCGATTGTTGTATCGAGTAAAGCACTCCGAGTTCAATCAAAAACCGTGTTACACTAACGTCTTTGAAAATATCTTTTCGCATCATTACCTATCAGTCGTCGAGTTGCAATATTTTTGGAAAAAATTATGTCATCCATTCTATTTTGTTAGGCAACATACATTTTTGATTCCTCATTCCGAGTAAAATATTTTTCGAAGAACTTTGGTGAATAAAAACCGAATTTCGGACAAGTTGCTTATGAGTTATGAGAATTAAAAGTGTTGTTTTGAGTAATTGGACTGTTGGAATAAAACCCGGGAACCTCGAAAACGTCGGTTCATTACTCCACTCATCTAATTTCAAAAACTCATAACTCAATTAACTTCGGACATTTGATTTTTATGTTTAAGCATCGGATTACTCCGAATAATATTTTGATCAGGAGTATGAAAACATATACTCTGTCGTTAAATTAAATTTTAAAAATAATTATCAAAATTGTAATATTACATGTTTTTTACAAAAAATGTGTTTTGTAAACACATAATAGATTATGTAAAATAAATATTTTCAAGAGCTTTAACGTTTTATAAGTTTAACGAATTACTTAGTATGACAATAAAACATTGAACCGTGTTCACATTTTTCGGAGGGCCAATAATATGATTGAGTATACAAAAGATTGCAAACTTTCGGCCATATTTTTTATTTATATACAAAATCAGTGCACCCTTTTGTAATAATATGTTGATGTCGCGTACGAATATTAATCACGATTGTGCTCGACGTTGCGATAGTATTATTATTTAAATTGTACAAAAAAAGCGACCAACGCTTAAACGCGTGTTTGAATCGGAGTAGCACACATTAATTCGTATTTATGGTATAATATGATTGTACAAAATCGTCGTTAGACGTCATAAAAATATATAAACAGTATTCCACGCCTTTGCCTAAGGTAGTAAGGTGTATATTATAATATATACTTTATATGTTGTGCAGCGTGGCGCGCTCAGCTTTTATATTGCAATGGTGGGGAGAAAAAAATTATATATTCTTGCGTTTACCCGAAGGTGCGGGTTAATCATATAGTAACCTACCAGATAGAATCGTTAATCGCCGTGCGTGTAAGGGTAATTTCTATACATTCATGAGTATTACTTATTAATTATTATAGTGACGTCTTGGCATACAAGTCACCCCGCGACAGAGGTAAACAGTGTACGCTTTGTGTAGTATATATTACTGTAGTCGATCAACCCTAAGTATTTACGACAAAATTTAAAACTGCACAAAAACAAAAAAAAATCGAAAACACGAATATTTATATTTTGACAATAGCTGCGGTGTATACATACCCTATACATAAGACAACGATGAGGTAATCGATATGGGTATAGACGATAGAAGAAATAGACAACGGGACACTCTCACCCCCCCCCCCCCTCCGCACCCCTCGAACGCGACCCTGAGCGCTCGTATATTATTATCACGAACGCGATGTACAATTCGAAAATATTTTGGAGGTGCTACGGTCGTGCGCAGCGCAGAATATCGCTCGATCGTTATACTTAAAATCGTGCACGCATATATAAGATACGTAGAGCGCGCGCGTAGGTCGTACTCAGACACAATAATATTTCGTATTCGTCGGATATCCTCTGCAGGGGTGTGCATGTTTATTTTATATTAGATATATGTGCGTGTGCGTGTGTGCGTGTGTGTGTGTGTGTGTGTGTGTTTGTGTGTGCTTGTGTGCGCGAGCATAATATTATATATAATATATTATCGTAAACGTGTGTACACGCGACAGCGAGTTTCCGACGAACGAAATAATAAACAGCTGCTGCGAAACGAATTTCGGCCGGGCCGTGAAGGTCGCGGGCGATAACTCGCGAAAAGCGAGAATCGTCTATTCGATTCGCCCACTCGGGCCGACGCTCGCGCGTGTTGCACAGCACTTACGACAGTGACGCGGCGTGTATACCTACGTTGTACCATACAACTTATACCTACGTGTATTGCTAGGCAGTTCCGGATCTATATTAATTTTTCGCCAAACAAATAAAAACTACACGAGTGGAATTTTATGTTATATATATTTAAAAACTTCATTTTTTCAAAATTCTCTTATTTTTTTCGATATTCTCCTCAAAGTCCGATCACTTAAGCCAAGTTCTTTACCGTGACGCCTGGCTGACTTTCGAGAACTTCTCCCCACTGCTTGTTTCACCCCGCTCTACATTTTCTTGAGTCCGTCTAGTTTTTTTACTACCATCTCTGTTTTGAGTCGTGTTAGCTGTGGTTTCAAAGTCTTATACCAACAAGTCGATGGTACCACGAGAAGGCATATGATCGCGAAGTGATAACCTAAATTGTCGGCATATTTAGTAAAGGCTTGAGCATAGGATCGCGAGGAGATAAACTAAATTGTCCGCGAAATGCACTTTGAGCGCCTTCGAAACTATCATTACTAAATTCCGGGTATTTAAAAGCGATAAGAACATTCCCGAAATCTCGACCACTTTAGTCCCGCCCACCAGTTCTTGTTAAAATCGTCTGGTTTGACTGCCGCACCCTGTATATATATATAGGAAGGGTCAAGCGGGGCCCCTGCCGCCCCTCGCTCGCGGGCGACCATCCGTACTGCACGGGCAGAGCACCGCCTGGACGTTTATTGGAAAATGACAAAAGCCGAGAATTTTTAAGAAAATTCCGAAACTTTTTTCCGCACGGATTGCGAGTGAAATATAACGAAAATAATATCGTCATAAAAGCCATTTTCGCTGCAGTATTTTACTTATTGTAATTTGTTCGGAGATTTGTGTCGTTTAAAAGTCGAATTCTTAGATTAAACGATATTGTGAGAATGTGAGACGAATCCATTACGATGATATAACATACGATTTCAGAGAGAGAGAGAGAGAGAGAGAGAGAGAGAGAGACAAAAACAAAATGAATGTCAAAATTTTGCTCTGTACGCAGAGTATTTTAAAGTAGGACGTTTTAAATAATATTTATACTGGCTGTATCCTATTTGGCGTGTCAAATCAAATAATGCCCTTGAATATACACTTAAACTCCGTTAAATGTAAACTACACTTTTTTTAACACGGCAGTTTTGGTGGTTTTGACCAATTACAAAATACTGGTTTAAAATTATTCTCAATCATAATAATAAGTAATAACTATTTAATTTTCTGGAACCTCCAATGGCAATCCTATGTATAAACATGCAAATTTACAAAATATATATTATATTCGTTTTTCGCGAGCCGACAAATCCTTGGGTTAGCCCCACTTGCAAATGAGAATTTTAGAAAATCGTTTCATGCTGCGCCTTTACGTGGTGGTACGATGGTCTCGTGAAAATGTCGTCTCCAGCTATCATGTATATCAGTATTGGTTGTATATACGTCGATTATGAACTGTACTTCACCCCCGACTTGGCCGACTTGTTATTTTATAATATATCAAACAGATTCATATTTTCAAATCAGTTATATTGTATTATAGTATTATACCATTATCCGTGCTCTTATAACAATCATATTATAGGTGTTTTTTCTTGTTCTGTTGGGCAAGGTCTTTGTATCTGCAGTCGCGGGTGTCAAGTGTGATCCGGACATCCGGCACTGCGTATATTCGCATACGACCGTTATTACGTACTCATCGAATATAATAATATATTATGTTTCACATCGCGTTTTTAACGACCATAATATCATCATAGTTGCTTTAGTCGCTTATCAATTTATCATTAATTATATATAGGTACCTATGCACGCAGGACGTCGACCTGCTGCAGGATTGCCGTCGGCGGTGGTTTCTCGCTGTCTAGCCGACGACGCGGTGACTATTCCGAATTCCGGGGGCACGAAATCATCCATTCTCCGGTCGTCTGCTCTGTTGTTGTCGCTACAATATATTATTACAATAACAGTGCCTATTATCGTCGTCGTCGTCGTCGTCGTCGTCGTCGGACTACAATGGCTGAATAATGGGTGCACCCCGGTGACTGGTGCACCGCGAAAGTCATGATTGATTGCCAAGAGACACGCGTACGTATAATAATATTGAATTGTACTGCAAGTATGCGGATGATTTGTGCGCTCGACATTTGCGGGGGCGGTCGTGTGTAGAAACGATTTCCGATGCGATTCAAACGACCGCGGACCGACCGCGACTGATCGCTTATTATTCGCCAATCGTATAATATATAGGTACTTACACGGTTCTACGTGTCGGTACGACGATGTACGCATAACATTTACCGGGTGCTGAGTAATGCAACGACTGCACACACACACACACACACACACACACACACACGTGCAGGTGCATTACAAGATTTCGCCGTCGGATCGTGCGAACCCGGCGACCGCGAGCTTTTAGTGGACGGAAGATATCGCGCGACATCGAATATTAACCCACAACAGCGGTCAGCGGCACGCTGCCCACCCGAGTCTCCAGTAAGTATAATGACAGAAAATTCAGCACGTTCTCGCAATATCGCGTACATTAATCCACTGTCGTAGAGTATATTTTTCACGGGACGAGTTCCGTGAACAATATTATTATCGTTAAACATATTTATTGAACCAATATAGTGAACCAATAATGCACGGTCCCTTGAACGTCATGATTTAGTGGCGCACGATTAATCTAATGAAATTAATTAGTTGTTCGTGCAACCCGGCTTTAGTAATTGTACGCTAACATTGAAGTATTATCCGAATAATTATGGAATTCACACAGGTACCGAGAGTGTGCACCGCATAAAATAATACTATTTAATAATAAGACATTAAATAATTTAAATAGCTACTTGCGCACAATATAAATATATTTTATTTTATGATTAATTAGACCATTTTTGTTAGTCCGGTGATTATTATAATATTATATTATAGATACCGCTATATGTACATATGAACGTGTTTTTCTCTGTCTTTCGTCATTATTTAGAATATTGAGTTCGTTGAGTAAGACCACCGCTTTTTTATTAAGTATTTGAAGATAAATACCGTATTTATAAATAAATCATTGTTTTTCTAAACTAAAAAATGAATACATTTTGTTATGGTAAATCAGAAAATCTACGATTTGCTTTAACAATAGCAAAACGGATCCCACGTAAGTTGTCAGTATATTATAACGAATCTTAGATTGGTAATTTGTTTAATCTCCGATGTTGAGTACAATATTTCTCGAACCTTATAATTATAAATTCTGACTTATTACTATATGCATAGTCAACCACTCGACTAAAGTATTAATATTATTCCCCCGTGACGATGAGTCACACCATAGTAGGTACTATACTAATTATTAATCATTCTATAAACCATGGTTCATTAAACCCGTGGGTTACTAAAATTAAAATGCTGAACATTTAATAAAAACAGCGTAAAGTTAGTTAAATCACTTAAATCTGGTATAATTGAACTTTTTTAACTAACGATTAAAATTAAACAATTACCATTAATCGTTTATGCATCAATGCATGAATAAACAGTGGCGTCATTTTATGGGGGCGTTTGCCCCTTTCTTACTGAAAGCATGCTGATTGTTGGTGGTATAATTTTTCTAATTTTAAGAAAATATAATATTGTGTAGGTATTAGGTGAGCAATAGAAAACTATTGTCACGATAACAATTAATATTTATAGTTTTTTAGTTCATATAATTACGCCGATACTATAGAAATTCTAAAAACAAAACGATCACTCTTAAATGTATCCATCTCAAAAAATCCTTAACATAACAGAGAAGATAACTATTTAAAAATGTTCGATTTTTCAATTACGTTAGAGCGGTCTTGTTTCAGATTGTATTTTGATCTGTTCGAGTGTTCGACCCCCCTAGAATACAATATACAATGACGCCACTGAGGTGGGTTATGGGTACCATAATTATTTAGCTCTTCCACGTCTTTTTTACCATAAAACGAGGCTGTTTTTACCTCAGACATGTATTGAGTTAAGTAACATGGGAATTATATCGCTATAAAAATGTAAGTGAAAATTGAGTTTGAGAGTGAAGCGATCTGATTTTTTTTTTGGTTATGTCATATAAGCTGGTCAAAACATTTGTCCCTTTACATTAAAAACTGAAGTGATGCCACTAAGAACTAACATTGTACTTATATTTCACAAATATATATAGTTTAATAGTTTATAGAGCAACTTGGTAACTACCAATAAAATATTAAACGTAATGGAACATAATATTATATCACTGATATAGATCTTGACCATAATATTGAGAATACGATATTAATATTTTAACCTTACTATTTGTAAACAGAAGTTACGGTACCTACATTAAATATGTTAACATTCCAAACTATTGATTAAATAACTATTTACCCACGAGGTCATGGGTATTAAAATATCGTTGTCTCATATTATAACTGAATTTAAATTTTAAAACCTACGCGGTTTAATACTTTAATGTAAAATCTATTGGGAGGCATTTTTTGAAATAATAAAATACAATTTAAAATTATTCAATTCAACTGTGAAATGAAAACCGTTTTTCATATACCTATTGGCGACTTTTGAGTAGATGAAAAAGGATCGATTTTAGTTAAATGTAAACATGTAATATATATTCGTTGGTATACATAAACATATATACGTTTGTACTTAACACTTAATCCTTTTTTATCACTATAGAGTATAGGACAGTAGGACACTATAGGTATATATTACATATTACGCACATTTCTACACTTATGGTATCACTGCAAACTCCGAACGCATATATTGTTATTATGTCATTTGAAAATAATTTAAACTCATTTTTAGTGTGCGAATAGATTTTGAGAATAAAACACTTGTGCGCAAAAGTACGTTGTGCAAACATATACGGTAATACGAGTTGTAGTTAACGAAACACCAACACAGACTCGCTGAATAAACACAATCAATGTAGCTAACTAACATAATAATATAATGTTCGCTGTATGTTGTATAATATAGTGAACATTAATCGACTAGCAGAGGAGTACGTGGTAATGCGAAAGGAAAACGGCTCTTGGGAGTACATCATATTATCATTGAAACTGAAAAAACGATGCTCAAGTAAGTGCGACTTATAAATTGTGTACGTGTTTTTATGGTTTTCGCGGCGGCTATATAGTGCACTAGATGCAGAAAAAATACAACACACTATATTATTGCTACCTGTTGACTAAATCGGTCACAAAAGAACGACTGTGATAATATCATTCAAGGTTTCGTACCAAATTTGGGGACACTTTTTTTCCTTCGACATTTGTCATACACGCGTGTCATGACATAATCCTGTATGGCGTTCTTTGTTGCATATTAAGTTGGTTTGCTTCTGACGTACCTCATACGTCAACCTGCGATGTTGTATAATGTATAATATGTGCGCGTACGCAGATTAGTCGTTATAGGTATATAATGTATTTTCCGTCGTCTTTCGAACAATCGTGTTCACACAAATGACAAGTTATCGTAAATATGATTTATAATGAAAATCACTCTCGAACGCTTCGTCTAAAACCATGCGTGGATACATAGGCAGGACGCAGGTGTATGACGTACGATATCCATTTTTTTTTTATCGTACAATTTTCTGTTTAAACAATACATAACAAGCTGTAGATATTCCAGGTAGATATAAAAAAAAAAAATACGAGCAATTATAATATAATATGAAGTATGAGTTAAAATTTTGGTTTTATAGATTGCATATCGAATAGGTTTGCCCAACATAACACGAAATATTATAATATTGTATAAGTACCTATTACACTATACGCACGGCCGGTATTACCTTGGTTGAATGTACCTACAGAGTTTAATGTGCGTAGATCACACTATCCGACTATCGCGGTCCATCGTTATTGGGCAGTGATTTTTTACTCATTACTATACAAATCGCCGAAAAATATTCGGAAAAAAACCCCTAAAACTATTTCACGCCTCTCGAGTGTATAATAATAATATTGTATAATTATAGGTTGGACGTGCGTATACGGCAGCTAAATAACATTATGGTTTAGCGTTATCTTTATGGGTTTCAATTATACATTATAATATGCGCACGCCTAACGCTCGCTGATGATCTAGTGGATAATATTATCACCGGCCTTGGTGTACAGTAGCTGCATAATGCATACCGTAATACCTACACGTATAATATAACACATATAATATAAACATATAATATAAACATTTTAAGTGCAGAGAGAGCGAGAGAGCGAGAGACGGCGGAGAGAGAGAGAGAGAGCAAACGCTTCATCATTTTCCGAGTCTGGGACAATTCGCTCGGCAAGACAAAATAACAAAATAATATTATAATAACGATAATAATATAAAACTATTACATTTTTCCACCTGCCGCGGCGGAAACCGTTGATTGCAGACGGATGGGCGTTTGTGAATGTCACTCTCGCTAATATAATATAATATATTATAATATGTATTATGATAAACGCTTTTCTTCGTGCGCACACGGCGGGCCCGTTGCGCGTTTAAAACAAAGACGCGCGCGCGCACACACACACACACACACACACACACACGCGC